GCAGTCCGGGCTGAGGGACCTCCCTTCCCCCTGAGTGCACAAATTTTTGTGCATCGGGCCTCTAGTCCTATATAATAAAAGCCTAACATGCTAAGTGTCCAGTCGGCCGTTCGGCTGTTCAACCAATCAAAGCGTAATATGCTAATGATATGCTAAGGCCGCTCAACTGCTTGCTATAATGTGCACTGACCACCAGAGGGCAGACAGTTGACCTGTTGACCAGTTGCTATTATAAACACTGATCACCAGGGGGCAGGCGCTCCAACTGGTAGGTTAGCTGGCTGCTGGGGTCCAGCTGATCGGGACTGAATGAGACAGGTCGGACATGCCCTGGAGCCCTCCTGCAGTCCCTTCCAGTCTGGCCAAACTCCCACATCTCTCCCAGGCTCCAATTGTACAGTGGTGGGGTCCCTCAGCCTGGCCTGTGCCCTCTCACATTTGGCCTGACGGTGGAATGACCAGTCGCTATGACATGCACTGACCACAAGGGGAAAGACTCTCAACGCAGGAGCTACCCCCTGGTAGTCAGTGCACTCCCACAGGGGGAGCACCACTCAGCCAGAAGCTGGGCTCACTCACGGCTGGTGAGTGCAGCGACGAGAGAAACATCGAGCAGCTGCCTTCTGCACGCCCCCCACTGGGGATGTGCCCGCAACCAAGGTACATGCCCTTAACCGGAATCGAACCCGGGACCCTTGAGTCCGCAGGCTGACATGCTATCCACTCAGCCAAACCGGTTCTGGCCTTGAAGTTTCTTTTAAAAAATATCATATTATTGACTTCTGAGAGGAAGGGAAAGGGAGAGAGAGATAGAAACGTCAATGATGAGAGAGAATCATTGATAACTCCTGCATGCCCCACACTGGGGATGGAGCCCACAACCTGAGCATTGCCCTTGCTGGGAATTGAACTATGACTCCTGTTTCATGGGTCCATGCTCAACAACTGAGCCATGCTGGCTGGGCGAGATCCTTCATTTTTATTGCTGTATAGTATTCCATGGTGTAACTTGTACCACAGCTTTTTATCCATTCATTTACTGATGGACGTTTGGGCTGTTTCCAGATCTTAGCTATTGCAAATTGTGCTGCTATGAACATAGGGGTGCATACATCCTTTTTAATTGGTGTTTCGGGTTCCTTAGGATATATCCCTAGAAGTGTGATCACTGGGTCAAATGGCAGATCCATATTTAATTTCTTGAGGAAACTCCATACTGTTCTCCACAGTGGCTGCACCAGTCTGCATTCCCACCAGCAGTGTTCTGGGGTTCCTTTTTCTCCGAATCCTCGCCAGCACTTGTCCTTTGTTGATTTGTTGATGGTAACCATTCTGACAGGTGTGAGGTGATATCTTATTGTCATTTTAATTTGCATCTCTCTGATGATTGGTGACTTTGAGCATTCTTTTCAAATGCTTCTTGGCTTTTTATATGTCCACTTTGAAGAAATGTCTGTTTAGATCCTTTACCCATTTTTTAATTGGATTGTTTGTCTTCCTTTTGTTAAGTTGTCTGAGTTCCTTATATATTTTGGAAATTAACCTTTTATCAGATGTATCATTGCCAAATATGTTCTCCCATACAGTTTCCTTTTCATTTTGTTGATGGTTTCATTTGCTGTGCAGAAGCTTTTTTTTTATTTTGATGTAATCCCATTTGTTTATTTTCTCCTTAGTTTCCTTTAACCTAGGAGACGTATCTAT